GGCCCGGCCCCATCGGCCGGAGCGGGGAAGGATCCGCTGCGGGGGTGGAGCGCTGCAGCCTTGGTGAGGTGTAATCGCCGGCCCGAGGCACGCAGCACCTGCCCCGGTGCCAGGTCAGGCAGCGAAACCTCTCGGGAAGCAGCTTCAGGAGGTGTCCGTGGCCTAGGGACCCCCAGCCCCCCAAGGCGAGGACAAAGTTTGTCAAAGCTGTCCTCAGAAACCCCTGGTGATGGCGACCTGCTCTAGTGCGCAGCGGCCTTCTGCTGAAAGATTTTCGTGCTGTCTCACTAAATATCTGCTCCTATGGGTTTAGCGTCTTTCTTGTCTTACTCCTTTTTTTCTGCAGCTACTTTTTGTTCAAAAGTGCCGTATTCTTGTTTTCCTGCTATTTTCCCATCTCCAGGCTGGGCTCTCTGCTTTTAGGTCATGTTCCTTGGACCTCCTGCAATTCCTGTAGCTCGCCTCCGGGCTCCTGCCAAATGGGCCACGTTGTTTTTGGAAGACCCTGCTCAAAACTGGACATAGTAGTACTCCAGCTCAGGCCTTGCCAAGGCTGTCCACAGCAGGAGGATTAATTCATCAGCCTTACGGTGCCAGGACTCCAAATGCAGCTCAGGCATAACCATTCACATCCAATTCAAACAAACAAACGACTCCCCCTCACCACTCTCCCCACCCCGTCTGCTGGCTGTTTGGCTCTGAACGGAGCTGAGTGTTTGTGTCTCCACAGCTCTTTTCTGGAACCAGCAGCAAAGCTCTTTCCATGATTATGCTGGGACCTTTTTTGACCCTGGTCGTGCAATGAGGTCCACAGGTGAACCCTGTACGGCACAGAGCCCACACACTCACCCTGCAAGCCATGCTGATACCAGGTTCTATCTTCAGGGAGCGCTTTACAAGACCATAGGTTGCCACAAAGACTACAAAAATTAATTTGATTTTTCTAGGTACACATTATTAGCTTCCATAGAAAGAAAATATCAGAAGGAAATGTATGTTACGCATACAGATGCTATTATAAAAGGTTGGATAATTGTCATTATAGCAGTAGGGTTCTTTTGACTTAAAGAATCATTTGCATGACAACATTAAGAATCTTAATACCAGCCTGAAGCAGAAAGTAATTGAGAAACTATTGTATAAACATGCAGTTTCAAAATGAATATACGTTACACTGAGCTGTGGCTATAAGAAATCATAACTCTGTACTGGCCTCAAGTTCCCCTTTCTACAAAAATGAAAGCAAAGTAAAAACCTTTAACAGCCTTCACGTGATGTATGTGCAGCATCAGGGAAGCACGGTGAAGAGTCACTCGCTCTGTGCTTGGTTTTGCCTGATATAATGGGCAGTATCAGTGGAAGACGTTCAGCTTTGCACAGCACGTCTATTACTGAATGCTTTAAAGGAGATTTAAAAACCTTATCAAAATAGGAAGCCTTTTTTTGTTGTTGTTGGCTGGATCCCCAGATGGATCGCTCCAGGAACACAAGTGTAGCCAGTTTGGCGACTAATCCTGTTAAAATCCGTGGACTTTATTTGGGGATGCACAAACATATGGAGATTTGAGCAACTGAATAAAAAAGACTGTCATTTGTCAAAAGACAGTTATAGAGGAAATAACTTGCAGCCGGAGCAAATGACACGTTTAATTTTGACTTCAGCCAGAATTATATAAAATATTTTTTAAATAGCTATAAGTCAGCATAATGTTACTTACAATGAAAGAATAAATTATTTTATGTATTATATTTGAGAAAAGGAGGTATACTGAAAATCTTTGTCTTTTCAGGATTTAGTAAGTTAATAAAATACTAAATTTTTGCAGTTAATCTTCAGCTCCTCTATATGCAGCACAATTTTCTTTATTGCCTTTCATGGCAAATCAAGTAATACAAACTTTCCTGTTGCCAAGGATGCTCTCCTTATAGGTTGTCTTTTCATTGGAAATACACATTTTAACATTATTTTATTCTTGTTGATTTCCAAATGTGACTTAAACCCTTTCCCATAAATTATCTGTTGGCATTTTCTTTTTTTTTTTTTCAGTCAAGAACAGCCTGTACAATAAATTGAAACGCACATTTCACCATATAAAAAATGGAACTTTAAAACAGTCAGGAATGGCATAGCTTAATGAAGGAAGGTGAAGAACACAATTTGGTATTTAAATGAAGCTGATTTAATCAAAATTAGTCATGCAAAGAAGCAATCATTTTGCTAATATAGTCCTTGTGGGGTGCAGTCAAAATGCAATTATTTCCTTTATCTTTCAGCTGTAATAAAAATATGACAAGGAATTGCTGTCATGATCTTAAATAGGAGTTTTGGAGGTTGAAAAAATGTAAGATGGTATCTTTTGTGTCCTCTGCACAGTCAAACATCAATTTTATGTTGTTTCACAAAGAACTGCGATAAAGAATAACAGTCACATTAAATGCTCAGCAACAACTTTATATACTGGCATATGTTGGAACTG